TATATATATATAATCACAAAATATAAGTGTTAAATGTTATTTTTAATTAGTTTAGAACTTCTGTGTTCAGTTGTTTCAGTGTAATTGATCAAGAAGTACATTTCTCCTCCGTGCTGCAGAGCTGCGTGAAGGGTTAACCTTTGATGTCCTGCTGCGCTTCTATTCTCCACAATTTAAATTTAAATACTGTTAATATTTTAAATAAACAATTCATGCTTCATGGATTGTTTATTTAAAATGTTACAGTATTTAAATTTAAATTGTTTATGTAAGGAGGGAGATTGCGAGTAACAGGTGATGAGTGTGGTTACAGCTTGACACATCATGACAAAGTTTACTGAACTTGAACTTGGACTACTGTATCCCTACTTCACGGTTTTTCACTTATCGCGAGAGGAGAGGGGGAGGGGACAGGGTACTGAGCCCCCGCGATAAATGAGGGACTACTGTATTAGCATATTAAATGAGCTATAATAGATTTGTGATCATCACATGTTTAGATGCCTTTTACGGTGTTTAGAGATGAATTCTGCTAATTAGATAGAAAAACTTTTGTGAACAACTGCAGACATGGATGGATGTTCAGCTCTAAAATATGTTTGTAACTAGAATGGGCAAACATTTGTTGGTACATTCACAACTTTAGCCCTGTGAGTAAACTACAGAAGAGGATTAGGGCCATGATGCATTTTCCCCTCTTAATTCAGAGAAAAAAGTCCGAATTCTGAGAGTAAATTCAGATATCTTAGATTAACGTCTAAATTCAGAGAAAACATTAGAATTCTGAGATTAAAGTCAGAATTTTGAGATTGAATTCTGAGAAAAAAGTCAGAATTCTGAGATTAAAGTCAGAGTTTTGAGATTGAATTCTGAGAAAAAAAGTCATAATTCTGAGATTAATGTCAGAATTTGAGAAAAAAGTCAGAATTCTGAGATTAAATTCAGATATCTGAGATTAAAGTCTGAATTCAGAGAAAAGGTTAGAATTCTGAGGTTAAAGTCAGAATTCTAACTTTTTTAGAATTATTGGTAAATAAAATGTTTTGCACCGTGGCTTAATCCTCTTCCATGGTAAACTGTTATTTCAGGGTAAATTCAAATAGTTCCTCAAAGTATTTTTCTCATCGACCTCTGAAAAATTAAAAACACTTTCTGTGTCTGTGTATGTTCTTGTCTATTTTATTTTCAAAGTTTATGTGGAAGTAGCTAAGAGTATCTCCAGTTTAGACTGTGAGAACAAGCGATACGCAATGTCCCCCGTCGCTTGGGTATTTGAATATTGAATGTTTGTAGTTTTCATGATGAGTGTTTTTCTGGACTGGAATTGAACATGGAACACAAGTAAACTTTACTTAACTAATTTACATTTCAATGAAATTGTCCTAGTTGGTGATTTTAATCTAGAATGGCTATATCCAGTATCTGAAGAATTTTAAAAAAAGTTGTTTGTCATTTAGTTTCAGTGAAATCATTGACACCCCTACTTGTCCAAACACTAAATGTCCAGGAAGAGCATCTATTTTAGATGTTTTTATATCAAATATGCCTTGTACATTTTCTGGTTTGGGTGTTTTTGCAGATAATATGAGTGATCACTGCCTTGTTGGTGCCAATAGGGATACTAAAATGCCTTGTATCAAACCTAGGTTAATTCTAAAAAGGAACATGTAACATTTTAGTGAACAGGCCTTCGTTTGGGACCTGTTCCATTTTGACTGGCATCATATTTTACTAATTGACAACATAAATCTTGCTTGGAACTATTTTCACAATATCCTAATGTTTGCTCAATAATCCAGGTAGAAAAATCTAAAAATGTTAAATCTGGTCCTCTGGACTTTCAAAAAACAAAACAAAGCAAAACAAAAAAATGTAGAAACATTTCGTCTCTCATCCGAAAGACTTCTTCAGTCTGAGGTGCTGTAGTCAGCTCAGTCTCTTAAATAGCACCTTCTCAGAGTGGATCAACCAGTGTTGCTGCTGACAACCAAAACCAGCTGCTCACATGATCAAGAAGGACCATCAGCCTAACAATGGATCATTAGCACACTGATGGCTGTTTACTATTCACAGGGGGTTGAGTGATACTAGCAATAACAGCATTGTAAGAGGGGGACAGTTGAACCCAGAGGCCTCCACCCCTGTTTAATGATGGACGATTTATTTTCACAAAGATGGCCTCCTTTACTCCTCTCTCAAACCATTGTTCCTCTCTATCCAGGATGTGAACATCCTCATCCCTGAAAGAGTGACCGCTGGCCTGGAGATGAGTGTAGACCGCAGAATCCTGGCCTGATGATGTTG